GGGGGCAGAGGAGGGGGGACCCGCGGGGGGGGGGACAGAGGAGGGGGGACCCGCGGGGGGGGGGACAGAGGAGGGGGGACCCGCGGAGGGGGGCAGAGCAGATGGGACGGCAGGTTTGGGGTTGCCCGGCCGCGCAGACAAAGGCCGGGGCAGATTTACGGCCCGGGACAGCTGGCGGGCAGAGCCGCCCCCCCGCCCCGCAGCTGCCGCTCCGCGCCCGGCCGGTCCCTGCGCCCGCGGCGGCCCCGGGGCGGAGCGGGGCGGGCCCGGCCCCGCATTCCGGGCATAGCAGCGCCCGGCCCGGCCCCCGCGGCCCCGGGACGCCCAGAGCCGCCGCAGCTCCGCTCCGCTCCGCCATGCCCCGGTGAGTGCCGCCGCCGGGACCCCCCTCCGCCACAGGGAACCCCCCGAACGGGACCGGGACCCCCTCCCTGGACCGAGATCTCCCCGGGAAAAGGACGCCCCACGGCACAGGGAACCCCCCAGTCGGGATCGAGACCCCCCCCCCCCCCCCCGACCGGGATCCCCCCGGTCGGGACCGGGACCCCCTGGCACCGGGAATCACCCGACCGGCAGTGGGACCCCCCGGGACTGGGGAGCCCCCCGGCACCGGGATTCACCGACCGGGATCGGGACCCCCCCTCGGACCGGGATTCCCCTAACTGGGACCGAGACTCCCCCCGGCACTGAGAACCCCCCAGCTGGGATCCTCCCCGGGACCAGGATCTTTCCCAGTAAAAGGACGCCCCCCGGCACCGGGACCGTCCTCCCCGGGACTGGAACAAGCCCCTGGGACCGGGAGCCCCCCTCTGGGGTCGGGACTCTGCCCCTGGACCAGGATTCCCCCAACCGGGACGAGACCCCTCCCGGCACCGAGAGCCCCTCACTCGGGATCGGGACCCCCCTAGAGCCCCCGGAAAAAGGATTCCCCCCAGCACTGGGGTCCCCCCTCGGCATCGTGATGCCCCAGGCACCGGGAGATCCGGGGGGATCCCAGGAACCCCCAGGACCAGGACCCTGCCCGAGACTGGGACACCCCTCGCAGGCCCAGGATCTCCATGTCCTGTGTCCGGAGGGGATATGTTGGGGGGTCTTCCCCCCCTCCCGATGGCTCCGTGGTTGGTCCCGTGGGGCCACTTCCCCCATTCCTGGGCCAGCGCTAGTCCCAGATCCGTGGGAATCCAGCCCCGGAGTTAGCCCTGACTCCCGAACTGGCCCCAGCTTCAGAGCTGTTCCCAGTCCCAGTCCCGGTCCCAGCTCCGGCCATGGGAGCACTGAGAGCACCAGTCCTCAGCCACCCCACCGCGGAGGCTGCTCCGCGCTCCCACGGCCGCCACGGGCTCCCACCCCTTCAGCACGTCCCGGCCGGATTCCTGGCAAACAATCCCACGTCCATCGGGATCCGCGCGGTGTCCTGCCCCTGCTGCTTCCCAACAACCCCGTTTTTCCGTCTCGCAGATGTCCCAGTTGCTGCTGAGGTCCCCCGGGACGTCCCCGTCGGGTGGAAACGTGGCTCTGCCGCCGGCACGGACGGACATGAGGACGGCGGAGGACTCGAACGGGACGGTGCTGCACCGGCTGATCCAGGAGCAGCTGCGCTATGGGAACCTCACGGAGAACCGCACGCTGCTGGCCATCCAGCAGCAGGCCCTGCGCGGCGGCGGGGCCGGGAGCCCCCGCTCCTCCCTGGAGAGCCTCAGCCCCGAGGAGAGCCAGATGGTGCAGCAATCCACGCGGCAGGAGCCGCAGGGCCAGGAGCACCACTCCGACCACGTCTACTTGGAGAACAGCGTCTATCGGCTCTGCCCGCCCAAGGGCGAGGAGCTCCCCACCTACGAGGAGGCCAAGGCGCATTCCCAGTTCTACGCCTCGCAGCGGGGAGCGGCCGGCGCCGGGATTCGGGGGGAGAACCCCCCGCGCGGGGCCGAGAGCGGGGCCCGGCGCCCCGATGAGGGGCTGAAGGACCTGAAGCACGGCCACGTGCGGTCGCTGAGCGAGCGGCTCATGCGGATGTCGCTGGAGCGCAACGGGGCCAAGTCGCAGAGCCCCATCAGCGCTTCCCACAGCTTCCCGCAGCTCTCCCGGCACCACCAGCTCGGCGCCCTGCGCGGGCAGCACCCCGAGGGCACGGAGCCGCGGGGACCCCCCCCGGAGTATCCCTACGTCATCCCTTCTCAGGACGCTTACCTGGCCGAGCCCCGCCCCTGCTCCCGGGAAGGTCCTGGATTCCAGCATCCCGAAATCAGGTAAACTGCAGCCCCTAGGACACGCTTTTGGATGCCTGCCAGGAATGTCCAAGGATGGATGCTTGGAATCTGTGGGGACACAGAGAGCAATGGGGAGCCTGGGCCAGCCTCTCTCCTCCTCACCAGCTCAGCCCGTGGGGATCTGCTGGGACCCCTCTGCTGGGACCCCTCTGCTGGGACCCCTCTGCTCCGTTCCTCTTCCCAGTTTCCCCAGCATGGTTGGGTTTTTCCAACCGGTGATAAAAATCCCACTCCCTCTGCAGACCCTTCCCCCTCCCTGTGCACCAGGAGGAATTTGGGGGTAATTTAGGAGCTGGAAACCAGCTCAGGAAACAGCTAAATGTGGAGTAGGCATGGGGAAGGGTGGAAGGCAGATGTACTCCCTGTTCTGTGGAATCCCACCCCATGGTCCTGAGCTGGGAATGTCCATGTAACACCGGTGTCTGCTGGGATTGCTGCTGAGCAGAAGCTGGGTTGGTGCCGGGTGATTCATGACCCTTTGGGCAGCTCAACGCCTCTGGCAAAGCCCCAGGTTGACTATGAGATGGACACAGAGAGGTCTGGGGGGCCAGGCACCACGTGGAATTTGAGGAGGGCCTGGAAACAACCTCTTCCACTGTGGAAAATGATGGGAAGAAGGGAATTGGAGGCTTGATGGGAGGACACGCTGCTCCCAGCCCTGCTGACCTATCCAGGCAGAGTGTGATAGCATCTCCAGCAGGAAAACCTTCTCCTTCCAGGGAACAAAGAGGGGAAGGGGAGCCGTGAGGAAGATGTATTTATTCTTCCTCGCTCCTATATCATCCCACAGGAATGCAGGCCCTTGGCGAGCAGCCCGCGGGGGAGCGGAGCGGGGCCGGGCGGTGCACAGCCACCCTGCCCAGGGCATTCCAGGCGGGATGTCAAGGAGCTCAGGGCAGTGGCATGAGGGGTGGCCAGGCTGGGCCGGACCCTCTGAATACAGAGAGGACGAATCCATAGTTTGGCAGTGAGGAGCTGTGCCAGGAGCCCTTGCTTTGCCCAGAAAACAAGGAAAAAGGGGCAACACTGCTGGCTTCCAAGGTGCATCCTATGCATGGCTGTCTGCAACATTCCCAGGAATAGGGGGGCCTGGGAGCCCAGCCAGACCCACTGGCCAGGTCCTGGAGGGGTCAGGTCAAGGCATCCCTGCCAGAAGGGATTTGTGGTTAGAAAGCAAGTGCTTCCCAGGTCTAAAAAGCAAGATAGGCACTTCCCAGAGCCTCCCTCCTCCTTTGGGGGCACCGGCACCCTCTTGGCCCATGGGTTTGCAGCAGTTGGTGGGGTGCCAGTGGTCGGAGTTGACGATCTTGGAGGTCTTTTCCAACTTTAACGAGTCCATGGTTCTGTGCTGGACTTGCGGTCGGCTCTCCCATTCCCCCAAACCTTGACCGCCCCTTGTCCCTCCCTCCCTCCCTCCCCGCAGGGTGCTGCCCACCCCGGTCCCAGCCGCGTTCCTGCCGCTGTGCCCGGGCGCGCTGGGTCCGGCGGGCGTGGAGGCCCTGGTGAGCGCCCAGGCGGTGTCGGCCGGGAGCCGCCTGGCCCGGGCAGACGCGGTGCTGCGGGAGAACGAGAGGCTGCAGCGGGAGAGCGAGAAGCTGCGGCGGGAGCTGGAGAGCTGTGCCGAGAAGGCGAGCCGCATCCAGAAGGTGAGGGGATGGTGGCAGCCCTGTGTCCCCCCTGCCTCGGGGAGGGGACGCTCGCCCAGCTGCTGTGAAAATTCACCCCCTTTAGTGATTTAATCCCTTCTCCTCCTCCCTCCGGCGCGTTGTTCCCCTCGGAGCAGCTGCGGTGTGGCAGCCGGGACTGGGGAGAAGGAGCCCATTCTCCGGTGACCCCCTCCCTCTGCCTGTCCCCCCCATCCTGGCCGCCACAGAAAGCCCTTTGTGCAGCCAAGTACAAGGGGCGGCTGTTCCCCGTGGCAGGGCTACGGCAGAGCCAAAATCTGCAGAGAGCCTCTTCCACAAGAAAAAAGGCAGAAAACGTCAGCTTTAACCCCCAAAGCGTGTTCTGGGGGTTTTGTGGGGTCCTGTGTGCTGAGCTCCTCTGGCAGCTCAGGTTGGGCTGAGCACCCCGGGCAAGCTTTGCAGCATCTCCCTTTCCTTTCCTCATTCCATGAATATCTAACCCTGGCCTGTCCCTTCCTCCACCCCAGCTGGAGAGTGAGATCCAACGCATCTCGGAGGATTATGAAAACCTCGTGAAGGCATCTTCCAAGCGGGAAGCCTTGGAGAAAGCCATGAGGAACAAGAGAGACAGCGAGATGCGGCGGCTCCAGGACTTCAACCGGGACCTGAAAGGTGAGGGACCCTCCATGTCCCCATCCCTGTGGGCTCTCTGTGTCCCATGGGTGTTTCCATGGGAAACCCAGCTTTTTGTAGTTCCTCCAGCCAAATTCTTGTATTTAAATCTTAATTGGGTTTAATTGTTTTGGACCAGAGCGATTGGAATCAGCGAACAAGCAGCTGGCCAGCAAGGCCCAGGAAAGCCAGGAGAGCAACCAGGGCAGTGTGGCCAAACTCCTGGCACAGAGTAAGTCCCGGGGGACACCCATCCTTGTCTGGCTGCCCATGGCATCTGTGAGTGGGACAGAGGGGCTCGGCTAGAGGGGGAGGAGGAGGCAGGTGGTGGGTGGCAGCTCTCTTCCCCGGGGAGGATGGAGCAGCTCTTGGCGCTGGACTCGAGCCATTAATCCCGCCGGCCGGCCGACGGCGTGACCCGCATTCCCCACATTCCTGCCGCTGTGCTGGCTCTTCCAGCACCAAGCCCGCACTCCCGCCCCACGCCAGCCCGGCCATTCTCTCCCTCCTCCCTCCTGCACCTCGCAGCTGCGCCAGCCTGGACTGTTTTGGGGAAAATATACCTAAATCATTACTTTAGCAGAGAGACGGTGTTAGTGGGGGGAATCGCATCCCCTTCCCTAAAGTGGCTGGATTCACGCTGGGCAGGTTTCACCCTTCCCGAGCCAAAATTTAGGCTGGAATGTGGCAAGTGGAGGCTTTTGTCCATCTGCCCAAGTGCCTAGGCAGCCTCTGGCCCCCAGGTGGTAGATGATCTTGGGGGAGGGGTGGCATGGCTGGATTTTGGGGAGGAAAGAACCCCTGCAGAGCTTCCTGAACCAGCCTTAGGGAAGCAAAACCTCTGAGATTTGGGGGGGTTCTCTTTCAGGCTACGAGCACCAGCAGGAGAAGGAGAAGCTGGAGCGGGAGGTGTCCCTGCTGCGCAGTGCCAACGAGGACCAGCGGCGGCGGGCAGAGCTGCTGGAGCAGGCGCTGGGCAGTGCCCAGGCGCGGGCGGCCAAGGCCGAGGCCGAGCTCCGGAAGAAACGAGCCTACGTGGAGAAGGTGGAGCGGCTGCAGGCAGCCCTGGGGCAGCTCCAGGCCGCCTGTGAGAAGCGGGAGCAGCTGGAGCTGCGGCTCCGCACCCGCCTGGAGCAGGAGCTGAAGATGCTGCGGGCTCAGCAGGTGGGTGCTGGTGACCTACGGTGGGTGCCGGCGAGGCAAGGGCGGGTGCTGCGTCCTCCCAGCACCTCCTCACCCTCATTTTGGGCTGTTTTTTGGGCTGCTGCAGAGGCAGGCTGGCGCCACGGGCGGGGGGACGCCGGAGCTGAGCGCCCACATGCTGTCAGAGCAGCTGAGGGAGAAGGAGGAGAAGATCCTGGCACTGGAGGCCGACATGACCAAGTGGGAGCAGAAGTACCTGGAGGAGTGCACCATGAGGCAGTTCGCCATGGACGCCGCGGCCACGGCGGCCGCCCAGCGGGACACCACCCTCATCAGCCACTCCCCGCGGCATTCCCCCAACAGCAGCTTCAACGAGGACCTTCTCCTGGCCAGCCACAAGCACCAGGAGATGGAGAACAGGTACTCCCATCTCGCTGGAGGAATTTTGCCCCCATCAAGCTCGTGCTGTGGTCTGGTCGGGTGGTGCTGCGTCCTCCTCTCCCCATCCGGCTCCTCTCCCAGCTTCTGCCTGTTCTCCTCTCCAGGTTAAAAGCCCTCCATGCCCAAATTCTGGAGAAGGATGCTGTTATCAAGGTCCTGCAGCAGCGCTCGCGGAGGGACCCCAGCAAAGCCCTGCAGGGCTCCCTGCGGCCGGCCAAATCCGTGCCCTCCATCTTTGCCGCCTCGGCCGCCCCGAGCTGGCCGGGGGCTGGCCAGAGCGACCGCTCCGCCGAGGGCAGCTCCCGGGGCAGCACAGGTAAATATGGACCCCTGCCTGCCAGCAATTCCACCTGCGGTTTTGGAGTCGTAGAGCTTGGGGAGGGGGGATTTCTCCAGGAGCAGCCAGAGGAGCCAGCGATTGTAGAATTGTAGAATCATGGAATGATTTGGGTTGGAAGGGACCTTAAAGCTCATCTCGTTCCACCCCTCTGCCATGAGTAGGGACACTTTCCACTAGACCAGGTTGCTCCAAGCCCTGTCCAACCTGGCCTTGGACACTTGAATCCCTTGCCTTGAATCCCTAATGGTGTCTCCTCCAGCAGGCAAAGCCAGTGCCGAAGGAGCAGGAGCTCCTGCTGCCCTTCCCTTGCCCTCCCACTCCAAGCATGGCAGCAAGGATGGCAGCACACAGACAGACGGGGCTGGGAGCAGCAGCCAGGGCGAGGGCACCGGAGTGCTGGGTAAGTCTCCCTGGATGACATGAGATGGGGACTTGGGATGCTCCAGCACAGGGCTTAGAGTTCCCAAGATGGGCTTTGCCCGAGTGTTGGTGATTTTTTAAGGCATTTTAAAGGCCTCAGTTGAGTTGGGGGGGTTTGAATCCCTGTGAATCTCTGTTAATCCCTTCTTTCCCTGCAGAGAGCTCAGCCGCTGCCAGAGCCCCGGATCTGTCTGACATGGTGGAAATCCTGATTTAAGGCCCCTCTGCCCTTCCTGCTGGCACCTCGGGATGGAGAAGCCTGTGGGAAGGGGAGGCCGAGCCTGGAGCTCAGCAGTGTCCCCGCGGCCCATCCCGGCAGTGACCCCCGTGCGTGGGAGGGTCCCTGTCCCCCCTCGGTGCCCACACGGGTCCCCGGCTGCGCGGGGCGTGCTGGACCCCGGGGATCCCGCGGTGGCAGCTTAAAATACACCTCGTCAGCTCCCTCCCCATCCCGGCTCCATCCGCATCCCAGCTCCCACCTCTGGGTCTTGGCCATCTGCACCCACCCAGGAGCTTGGCCTCTGACAGGAAAATCCCTCCCTGTTCGCCCGAACTGTTCCCACAAGCCGATGTCTCCGCACGAAGGCAGAGCCAGGAGAGGGGATCCTTGTCCTCCCTGGGTCCCATCGACCACCCGGATCCACGCGGCCAAGCCAAGAGCCAGGAGCTGCAAACTTCCATCACCTGCATCCTGCCTCTGGGGTTCGTGACAGGGTGACTGAAACAAAACACGATCATGGAGGGAAAGAAAGGTGGAGAAGGAAGCAGAGGTGCAGGGCTCCGTGGGAAGCGAGGATGCTGAAGGAGGCAGGGGGATGTGCCACCCCTCTCCTGCCTGCATCCCCTGGCTACTGGCAGCTGGCTTTGCCCGTAGCCAGCACCGACATCCAGCTCCTTAGAGCCTCCCATCCTTGCCCTTCATGTATATATATATATTTTTCTCTATTTCTTCCTCCTTTCAACGTGTGCATTTGCTGGCCAACTGCATTTTTTATTTTTCTCTCCCCAGACACGTAAAAAATGCGTTCGGTTCTTGTGCATTGTTTACAAAGTGGAAAAGAAACAAAAAGTTATGAAAGAGGAGAAAAAAAAAAAAACCAAGCCCCCACAACTTAATATATTTTATATTAATATTGGTATTTCTTTTTAAGTATTTTTTTCGTGCTGTGAACTTTTTTTCCTGCCAAAGACGACAAGTTCTCGTTTGTGCGTTTTAAGTTATCTTTAAGTATTTAAACGTAAACCTGGCTGTTTCGTTACGCCGCCCTATACCGAGATTGCTGTAGCATTCCACTTGGTATAATGATATTTTAATAAAAAAACCCAAATATTGACCCCTGGATACTTTTTTTTCCATGCGACGGGGAGAGATGGAGGCTCTGGCTGGGGAAAAGGGGTCTGGGGGTGGTGACCCCCCTGTTCAAATGTCCTTCCCAGATCTCCAAGAAGAGGTTTGGGGCGAAGCTGCTTGGGAGAGGGGAAAAAATCCTCAGGAGCATGTCTGTGTTTCCCAAAATCCCATTGGGATCCCATTCCCCCCATCCTTCGTGGGGGAAAAGATGGAGTAGCCAAGAAATGTCAATGTAGTTTCCTTCCTGCCCTTGCATCCCTGCATCCCTGTGTTCTTGACTCCTGCATCCCTGTGACCCTGCATCCCTGTGTCCTCAATCCTGGTATTTCTGCATCCTCCTCCTCTTCCTCACAAGACCCCTTCCTGCTCTCCTAATGCTCCACCATGGATCTCCCTGAAGGCCAGGACTTCCAGCATGGCTGGCCCTGGTCCCCACGCTTTCCCTGGCTTTGTCAGCCACCTCCAAGCCCTTCCCACCCCAGCTGGCTCCTGGATCTTCCGGAAGACCAGAAGTTCTCCAGGTGTTGGACTTTCATTTTTAACAGGTGTGTCATTAGTGCTTCCCAGGGAGCATCCCTGGGGACTCTGCCATCTCCAGCCAGGCCTGAACTTTCCCTCTGTGCGTCCTTTGACAATGACTGGCAGCTCATCTTTGTTATCCCGCTGTCCCTGGGGACCAGGAGCTCTTGTGCAAGTCTCTCTGCAATGGGGTTTAGCTTGGATTCTGTGGAACAATGGCATCAGAAACCAGCTTTGTTGCCAACTCCTCCCTGGAATTATGGAACCATGGAATTGTTTAGGTTGGAAAAGCACTTTAAGATCATCAAGTCCAACCATTAACCCAGCACTGCCAAGGCCACCACTAACCCATGTCCACAAATGCCACATCTACATGTGTTTGAACACTTGCAGAGATGGTGATTCCGGCACTTCCATGGGCAGGATCCCTTAGGGCTCTGTTCTTGGTGGGACAGCTATGCTGAATGCCATCTCAGCTCTACCCTTCCCACTCAGGAATCTGGAAGGGGCATGGCTGAAAAATGAGAATTTGGGGCTTCCTGTGGCCGTGGGACAGGTCTCCATCCCTGAGGAGCAGGTTAGAAACACTCGGAACAGTGGGAAGCTCAGAGCCGGGCTCCTCCTTCCACCCATGGTTTGTCCTGGGTGTTGCAAGCAGGGAAACAAAAGCTCCCCCCATGCAAAAGGCTGAAAGGGACCCTGAAACGGGGCCAGCGATGGGAAGAACTGGGTGGGAACTCACAGGGAGCTGTAGAGGCTGGGAATATGTCCGGGGGTCCTGGCAGCCGCCGGCCAGGGCTGTACCTGCCCTGCCTCCCCCAGCTCCTGCCACCCCGGAGCTGCAGCAGCCGCCCGGGAAGGCCGGCAGCATTCCTGGCATTCCACAGCTCTCACACCCCACGCTTTATTTACCCGAATCCGGATGCAGAGCGGCCCGACTGCAGGTCTGGCTGTTTGCAGGCAGCTTTCCACGTCCAGGGATTCAGGGAACGGGCTCCTGTTGGGAGATTTGCTCCCTGTTTGGCCACTGACCCCCATCCCCAGGACTTTCACAGTCTCCAGGAGTCAGAAAAAACTCCAAAGCCCCTCTGTGCATGCAGGAATTGGGCTGTGGGGAGAGGATTCCCAAGCCCAGCAGGTTGGGCAGGAGGTCCCAGCTCCTCCTGCCACACTTCCCAAGGAGCCGAGTGCTTTGGTAGGGATGCTCTTCAGCCAGAGCAACATCCCAAAGGAGCTGCACACCTTGGCAAATGGAGGCTGCTGTGGGGGTGTGTTATCACCTGCTCCATCGCTCCATCCTCACAGGCATTTCCTTCTGCCCTTCCCACACCCTCTCGCTGGGTTTCATCACTGGCATCACTTGGACCCACTGTCCTTTATCCCATGAGGATCCAGGACATGTCCCTGTCACCATAGCACGGCTGAAATGGCGTGTGGGAGCCAAGACTCCTGCTCTCATCCCTGTGTCTGTGATCTCTGACTCCCTGATCCTTGCATCTCTATGTCCCCGATCCTTTCATTCCTGTGTCCCTGCATCTCTGTATCCCTCTGTCTCTGTGTCCCCGTGTCCTTGATCTCTGCATCCTTGCATCCTTGTATCCCTGTATCCTTGTGTCCTTGCACCCATGTCCTTGATCTCCACATCCCTGAATCCCCGCATTCTCGCACCCCTGCATCCCTGCATCTCAGTCCTTGCATTTCTGTCCCTGGGGTTCCCCGTGCCCTGAGAGGCGGTGCTGGAGTTGCCTGAGGAGCTGCTGGCTGGGCTGGCACCTGGATGCAACTCCTCCTCTGGGCTGCACATCCACAGCCCTGGAGAGATGGAAAAGGGCCAGCGGCCTCTGCTCCGAGTGCCACCACCGTCACCTTGGTGGCCCTGGGAAAGACGCCCTGTCCCAGGGCAGCAGCAGAGAGATGGCTCAGCTGGTCCAGGTGCTGTTCAGGGTCTGGTCCCTCCATGGTCACAGGGGGACAGGACAAGGCCAAGGATCTCCTTGGGGCTCCTCAGCCATCCACCAAGCCCCATTCCCAGCCAGGAACACCTTGTCCCCCAGTGCCACACCACAGCACCATCTCTGCAGCTTTGGTTCCTGCGTTTCCTCATTTCTCTTTGGAGAAAGTTGAAGCTTGGTCTTTGGAGCATCCTTGGATCTTGGTGGCTCCTTCGTTGGCCCTGGTTCCTCATCATCCCCTCCTCGTGCATCCTCTCTCCTTTCCCACTTGCCAAATGCTAGAGCTGGATGGGGAAAGACAAGCTTGTCACACCCTCATTCCTATGGAAAACTCTCTTAAAACTGAAAAATCCCCACCAGGATTTGGGAGAAAAGGAATTTCACTCCCCTTCCAAATAGTCCCAATCCTCGTGGGAGAAGTCTGGCAAGGCTGTGGGCCAGCCCTGCAGCTGCTTCCCAGCAAACCAGTCGGGCAAACCGGGTGCTTTCTCTTGCCTCAAGTCCTGACTTGCTCGTTGGACTGGCAGGAATGAAGCTGTCCCTGCTGGGCCTGCTGAACCCTTCCCTTCCCCCTCCCTCCCTCATTCCACCCCATTCCAGGGGGTCCCTGAGGTCTCCAGCTCCTCTCTGTGCCCAGAGTTTTTTGGGAGGTTCCCCCCCCGCCAGGCTTTCTTCTGCCAGGGGGTCAACGCTCCCTTCCTGAATTCCTTGCACTGGTCCTTGTTTGCGTCCCGTTGCAGAATGAGCCACTCCAAGGTGTCCCCTCCCTGCAGAGCATCAGTGTGTCTTGATCTTTGCACTCCCATGACCCTGCATCCATGTGTCCTTGATCTCTGCAACCCTGTGTCCTCAATCCTTGCATCCCTGTCCTCCTGGATTCCCATGTCCCTAAGAAGGGGTGGCTGGAGATGCCTGCCAAGCATCCAAGCTGCCTGTGTGGCAGGGATGGGACCAAGGGATGGGGATTGTTTTGTTATTTAGGAGATGGCTGGGACACCCTCCTGGATGTTCCATCCACCCAGCCATGGGGCATCGTCCAGCTTGGGAGCTCCATCCCCATCCTCCCCAGCCCCAGATCCTCCTGAAGCCCTTCATGAAGAGGGGGTGAGGACCATCCAGGTGTTGTGGCCCAGGGCTGCCCAGCTCCTGCCCTCCCAGCCAGGATCACTGCCCAGGCTTTGCTGGGCTCAGCACAAGCGGTCGGACCCGTGGTGCGAGCGCGGCGAATTCCTCATTCCTCTTCCCTGCACTGTGCTCCCTGCCTGCCATCTTTGCATGCAAACAGTAAACAGGCTGTTATTATCCTGGATGCTTTGAATAACTGTGGCTATTTTTTCTCTTCCCAGTATTCTAAAAAGGCAAAAAATTCCCTGCGGTTTCTGAGTCAACTTTTTTTTTCCTCAGTCTCTTTTCTTTCCTTCCCACCACCTCTGTGACCTTGAAAGCCCAGGCAGATGAGCTCTGGCTGTCTCTGCTCACACCCTCTCCCTGACTGTGCTCCTGCTGCTGCTCTCTCTGCTCCCTGTGGCTGGAAACGGGGGAATCTGGGGCTGAGCCTGGTGGTGGAGCAGCCCTGGGCTGGCAGTGGTGGGCAGGATCCGGCCTGTAGCCTCCCCTGGCTGAGAAGTTGGGGATGTTCAAGGAGCTGGGGATGCTCAAGGTGGCCAGGGATGCTGCAGGAGGGAGGCACTGGGGATGCTGGAGGTGGCTGTGGATTCTTGAGGCACTGGGGATTCTCAAGGTGGGGCCAGGGATGCTGGGGGAGGGTGGCGATGCTGAAAGTGCTGGGGGTGCTGGGGGTGCTCAAGGAGGTGGGGGATGCTGGAGGTGGCTGTGGATTCTTGAGGCACTGGGGATTCTCAAGGTGGGGCCAGGGATGCTGGGGGAGGGTGGCGATGCTGAAAGTGCTGGGGGTGCTGGGGGTGCTCA